CACAACGCTCGTACCTGCGTAGTTGAGATAGATAGTGCAAGTGATAGTAGTAATTCTAATAATTAATTTGGTATATTGCAATAGTTTATTGACTGTAATAAAAGACTGTGATAACGTGTTGAAGTTAACGCGACGGTACAAAGTGGCCGACTCGCTTGGGTGGCCGACTCGCTTATGAACCACGTTATGTATGTATGTATGTATGTATGTATGTATGTATGTATGTATGTATGTATGTATGTATGTATGTATGTATGTAGATGCAGGAAAAGTAAATAACAAGTAATGCAAGAGAATTCATCAAATGTACAAAAGCGCAAAGTGAGCGAGAAATTGGGGGGGGGGTGCAATACTTACTTACTTGGGTACTAAGTAGGTAAGTAGGGGTCTGGGCCTGACCTGACCAGACCTGACCTGGCGCGTGCAGAGAAATAGTAAAGATACACCCTAGAACTTCACATGTGCTCTCCCCCACTTGTAAATGCCGCCACGCTGCACAAAAGACTTTGTATCCCACACAGCCTGCTTCATAGCCTCGCGGACACCGACATGCAGAATCGACCCGCTCTTCCTCATCCCACACGAGCCCTTATCAATCAGGCACTGGAATACTTTCCACCGGAACGCCGCCAACGCTGCTACTTGCGCCGCCATGTCTTCGTCCCAGTTGTACGCGTTGACTACCGTGTTGAGCTTGAACTTGACGTTGTATTTGCGGCACCGCGCATTTCCCCTCATCCACGACTCCCGCATCTTGCTGCCGTTGCTGACGATGCTGGTGCTTTCGAGTCGGAGCTCTGTTTTGCAGTAGCGCAGCACGCAGGAGAGCAGCTGCGCATGTAGAAACGGTTCGCCGCCTGCCATGTTTAGCTTGCGCATCCCGGCTTCTGCGAGCAGTTTTAGCCCCTGCTTGACTTGGTCCCACGGCAGAATGTACGATGAGGTTGCCGTGTGGAAAGCAGAAGCCGCACGAGTAGTTGCACTCGCGCGAGGAAAAGTAGTTGACTGAGACAGGGGCATTGGGGGAGCTTGGTGGCATCGAGAGGCTCAGCTGGCGGCTTTTTGTTATTTCCAATGCTGCCAAAAGCTTGCTCACTGGCAATTAGCAATGGTTGATGTGTATAAGAATATGGATTGTTTTTCACTATCATTCCAAAGTTTGCTATACTAACCAAACCCGCCCCCTTTTTTTCATATATACAACTATAACATAACATTACCATCTGATAGGGAGGGGGCTTGAAGTCGAGACTAGACTTGGAATTACGAGGTTTCTGGGTATATCTTTGCTTTACAGTGTACTGTGATTACTCCACTTTATATATTACCTTGTAAAAGGTTTGATCCAATGATGAGTAAATAGCAGCACAAAAATCTCACATACTGTTGATGGAAACTCGACATGAATGCCAGCTGCAATTTCACAAGTCTCTATCTACTTGAAATTCCGAAACCAGAATAAAAAAAAAGGACTGCATCTTCGTTATGCTCATGGTAAAAAGCCGGACCTTTCATCTCCGCATTCTACACTGTCGTGCATGGAAAAACGAGACGGCGAGATCTGCACAACCATGACAACACCGTCTACTTCTACATCGAACGCTTGTCGCAATCATCAAACGGAGTAGATGTTGGATTCTCAAGCCTAAAATCGAGGAAGAAAGATCATGCCAGGAAGAAACATGGAGTAACAGGAATCCTACAAGTGTCAAGCATGCATTTCGTCACCTTGTCGTGATAGTCAGTTTCTCAGGGCAAAACTCAGACAGTGCCACAGGTATGCAGGTTGATACCACATGGCCGTATTACAACGAAGCATTCACTTTGAAACAGGAAATATGCAGTCAGCGACATGTGACAAGCGTCTGATGGCTCGGCTACATTCACCTACCAGACACCGCCTATCTGGAAATACATGTCGGTACTAATCAACCTATGTTAATGTCTGTCCAGTTCATCACAGCATCTCAGAAAGAGAGAGAGAGAGGGGATGAAGATGAAGAAGAAGAAGAAGAAGAAGAAGAAGAAGAAGAAGAAGAAGAAGAAGAAGAAGAAGAAGAAATAACTCGGGAAATCTCTCCATGCTGAAACAACAATCACAATAACGGACCCTGGAACCATTCAATCCCCGTCGGATCAGGAGTATCGTACGGCACTAGAAAAACAGCGCGCACAGAAGACTTGCTGAAATACCCAAACCTGGTCGTTGGACCCCATCGAGCAAGAGAGAAATCGCCATGGTATACATGTGCAATCAACCACGCGGCGGCGAGTGGAAGAGATAAACTGCACCTATCACGAATAGAGTTCTGCATATTGTATGGAGGCCTAGGTACAACGACATCGCGGGAGGCTTTAAAAGGCGAGAGGGTGACTGAAGGAGCTGAGAGAGAGAATCGCGATGGTGGGCTTGAGGGAGCGTGCAAGTATGTTTGTGAAGAGGGTAATGAGAAAGAGTGATGCCAGAAGGTTGTAAATAGTGTGGATAGATGGGCATGTGCTGAGAAATCCTAGTGTGAACGGACTAGCGTGGGTAGGAGCATGGGAGATTGAATGGATGGGTAGGGTGGAAGCTGAAAAGAAGTATGGCAAGGTGACTGTGCTGTGTGTTTGACGTGTTGGAAGAAGAAGGGGTGGAGTTGGAAGACGAAGTGATGGGGTTGTGATGGTGTATATATAACTTATGTAGGAAACGAAGGAGAGGAAGATGAAGAACGAAAAGAGCAAGCAACAATGCGAAGAAGAGAGAAACTGGAATAAAAGAAAACCCATGTGAAAGCGCTCCATACCTTCTACAAGGTCAGACTTAGAACAAATGAAACTCAGTAAGTAGCGCATCAAGATCATCAATACTTAAACACAACTTAACAATTACTTACCCTTTACAGCATTGCATCAAGCAAAACCACGATACTTACATACCAGCGGCACAACAACAAAAAAAAAGTACCATCATTGATTTTCTCAAACACACACATGGAGGGGGGCACAGCGCGGAATATATAGCCAAACCCCCCGCAGTCTCAAAACACCGAGCTAAACAAGTGCAAGTGTGTCGCCGTCGTACTCCGCCGCACGGCTACGTTGCGCTGTTCTCCGCGCCCCCCCCAGGATAACCGGACTACTGGGACACGCAACGCATGGCGGGTATGCAAGCCATCGGCAGTAGCAGCGTCACGGCACATTGTCCTAGTTTGGTCAAAACTATGACACGGTTGCATTGAGTATTATAGTTACGGCACTTGGGTTTGCTGGTTCCCGCCCGCTCAACTGCCGTGCTGCAAGGGAGGCCCAGCATGCAGCATGCCGCGATCGTCGTCGTCGCCGTCGTCGTCGTCACGTGTCAGTCCCCCTCTTTGCACACTATATTTTGCCCAGACTATTTTTCCATAGTTACTTACAGTTTAGCCCTAATACCCGTAGCCCCTCCCTGGACCGTGGCGCCACGCAAATTTCCGCTCTTAAACTCATCAACAATACGCTCCATAGTCACCCACTCGACCCCCTCATGCTGATTGATCCACTCGATTAGGCGCTCATGCAGCAGAATAACCTGCGGCTTACCGCTGACCTGCGGGTGTATGCTAATGGGGAAAACAAAGCTCCCGTTGTCGGGGCACTCGCGGTACAGATACTCGAATTGCTGCTTCCACAGACGCTCGATGACGGCCGTGTCGACGTAGCCGTGGGTACTTGGTTGCGTAAGAGAGAGCTGGAAGGGCGGCCAGTCGTCTAGGTGCCAGCTTGCTGGGATTTCGACGACCGAGGAGGGCTTCAATGCGGACATGGGCGTCATCCAGTGGGAAGCGGGTTTCGAGACGTCCGTCTCGGTATAGGTGCTGAGATGCGGGGAAGGCAAGTAGTAAGGTTGGCAGTCATGATGCATGAAAGAGTGGTCGTATTCCTGTGATTAAGTCAGTGCTCTGCTGCCTCCTTACCTCTACATCAGTCTTACAATGCCAAACTCCTCCAGCAGCTTGACGGTCTCTTTGCTGGTGCTCCACGCCGGTGCTGTCCAGCCGCGAGGTTTTTTGCCCACAAAGTCGGTCAAGACTTGGATGCTCTTGAGTAGGACATCGCGTTGCTGCTGCTCGCTCAGCGTCGAGACAAATTCGTGTGTGTAGCCGTGCAATCCAATTTCATGTCCCTTTTCAATTATCTTGCGGATTTGCTGTGGAAATGACTCGGCTGAATGCGCTGGCGTAAACCATGTGGCTTTGATCTGGTACTTGTCCAATAGCTTCAGCAGGCGATCTATGCCCACTGTTGCACCAAAGACGCCGCGTGATACGTCGGTTGGGTTCACTGGCGCTCCAGTCTTCGTGTTCAGCCTCAAGTTCCTTTAGCATATGGAGGTAAGGTATCGTTGGCAGAAGCAACTCACCATCCGCTTACCTAGCAAGGGCAATCCGTCAGTCCGTGTCTTGGGAGATATCATGTGCTACTGACTGCATCGATATCGATACCGTACGAACAAAGTACTCTTTTCGGCATCCTGCGAGAGCGAGTCGGTATTGTTGCACAAAAACTTTTCAGCAGTCTAGACAAATTTCAATGCAGGAACAAGCATCTTAAGCTACAAGTCCCTCTTATCGAACCGCTGTAGCCGACAGCCCAGCAGTGCATATGATACACCGACATATCGTCCGAATGATGCCCACCTGCCTGCTTCGTCCCGCTGTGGGTGTAGCTTCAGGGCCACTGATATGCTTTGGAATCCTCATGAAGGCGTATGGAATCATTGTGCATGTATGCAGGACTAGCTTGCAGCGGCCAATGAACCAGATTTGGGCTCGTGCAGAAGATTACGTGAAACTATCCTTTGCTTGCGTCTAGATGAGCGAATGAAATACAGCGTAGTTCGGCCATAGGTCAGACGGAACTGGGCGCAAAGGCGGGGCGGGGGCAGACGTGTGACTACCGATGGCGCACGCGCACTCGGGCTCGCACGAATAGCTCCTAGCATCGGAATTCTGGTTTCCGATAATACAACGCGTTGCGCAGTTTGTTTCATCTGCCAAATGTTGTGCTAGGATGTTGTTTGTTGCTTGTGAAGGAACGCCGTATGAGGTTCGTATTGAGTGTGACGTCATTTCTTGTAGTCGTATCGCTGCTGATATTCTGTCTAGATCGGCTACCGGCATGGCCACGCTGCAAAACTGCAAATCGATCGCGGCATCGACTTCTATGCGTCTCTGTTTTTGAAGAACTGCAAACAGACATGGCCCCAGGTCCTACAGCATGCCTTGGTATTTGAACAACAGGCGAAGGCGCAATGGCCAGCGTATCAGGAAGAAATGAAAGGCATTGCTGATGGTTCTGGGCATGATTTACTGGATATTGTGGCACTGAATGTGAGGACGGAAATCAACTTTGGTTTGTTCAGCGATGGGTGTACAGCGCTTGCATGGCACACTGGTAATCACGCATGGCTGGCGCAAAACTGGGACGTATGTATCCGGAGCCGAAAAAGAAACGTTGGTAGTGAGCATATGAGCTGATACGGAACAGTGGATGGCTGAGCAGAAACAAAACCTCATAATCACCAAAATCACCCAAGCCAACAAGCCTACAATAGTCCAGGTCACTGAAGCAGGCATCATTGGGAAGATAGGCTTCAACAGCTTCGGTGTGGGCACTTTGTTCAATGCCATCAAAGTACATGGCGTAGATTCCACTCGAATGCCTGCTCATTTCGGCCTCCGCATGGCTTTAGAGAGCAAAAGTGCAGATGAAGCCGTCCGAAAGCTCCAACGCTTCGGGATGGCGTCTTCGGCTCACATCCTCATAGGAGACGCAACGACATCTGTGGGCCTGGAGTTTACAAAAAGTACATTTGCGCGCATATTACCAGACTCTACCGGCAAAGTTATTCATACAAACCATCTTCTTCGCGATCATCCTGGCGAACTCGATACAGTGTGGATCAAAGACTCTCTGACCCGTGTTCGGACCATGGCTGAAAACACTGTAGCAGTAGGCGCGGACCCTAGTTGGGAGCAGGTGCATCAGCTATTCCAAGACGAACAGAACGCTCCAGGGTCGATATGCAGGACCGAGACAGAGGAGACTGGAAGTGGGACGCTGTTCAATATCGTAATGGACTTGAAGAGCAGAAAGGCAGTCGTAAACGTGGGCAGACCCACAGAGGTAGAAGAGACGGTCAATCTAGAGCTTTGACGTGGGAAGTGCTACGCTTTTGCGTTGGCGTAATTTGACAACGGACATGTGGGGCCGTAGTTCCCGACATCTGTTTCCTCAAGCGGGGTACCTATACAAACATTGAGCTAAGAACGCGCCGTGCGTAGCGCATTGACTCAGTACCATGCTACCGGAAACATTGCTCGGTACTTGTGCGATTGTATGCCAAACATGTATCGAGCATTCTCTTGCGATAAAATGACATGCCGAGTGGAAGCGTGAATATTGTGCGGTGGGGTTCCCAGGAGGGCGAGGCTGACTGGCAATGAAAAGTGAGTAGGCGGTAATAAGTCCAGACATGACGAGCCTATCTTACAAATACGTGTATTTGCCAAGACACCGATGATGCAGCAGTGAACATGCTCTGAAATAGCAGCATTTTCATGTGCAAGATGAACAATCATCAATGGTATGATGATACAGCCATAAGTTTAACAGTCCAAACACCTTTGACGTAAAGTTCGTTTGACGCCCCGTGTTCTTCATGACGTATCCGAGACCATTTCCAGATTATCGTTCACGTTCAAGGAGAATTCCGCGTTCCAGTCTCGAGGCGGTAGATTGTATGAACATGTACCGAGTGGATCCGCGCCATCGATTGCTGAAGTAGTAGGGTTGAAGATGGTCCAGAACTGATAAGCCTCGTCGACCTCTGTAAGGACAGGAGGCGGTATTTGATATTCGTAGCGACTACTCGAATCCGAAGTAGCCTGTTGAAGCGATGGCGGATGGAGGCTCACCTTCTGGTCCAGATACTCCAAGTATTCGCTCTTCACCGGTGGTAGCAATCGTTCGTATTCCTCGTAGCATCTCCGCGCGGCTGCCCATCGCTCCGAGATGGACAGGAAACATTTTGAAAAAACGTTCATCCAATCCTCCACTTGTTGCCAAGGATAAAGACGTGCGACTTCTCTTTTGCAACGCTGCAAGCCCTGGAGGAATATGAGGGCACAATTGAAAACGTGATGGCAGGGATGAAAGACGTATTTGATCTTCCCAGCTTCTGCTTCAGACTGTAGAAAGTAACCATCGGCAACTTTGACAGCGTTCACCAAAGCAACCATCATCTGCTCCTTGCTCGGGTTGGGTATGCGGCGGGAGGAGCGATTCAGCAAAGACAAGATGTAAGGATGTGCAATGTCAGAGTACAGGCACATCTCTGTCCACCGTGCGTTCAGGCTGTGGTCCTTGTTGGCGCTGGCTGCGGCATATATTTCTTGTTGCCAGCTTGTAATTTTCTCGACGCAACGCTGCATCCATTGTTCCAATGATGCGTGCTCCTCGGAAATGGGATCTCCTTGCCACAAAACAGAGATGATATCGGCTTCTATGAGTCGAAATCGGCAGATGATGCGCTGAGTGAATTTCGAGACGCGCCCAGTATGCGATATGCTGCATTCGGCGATGGCGGTGTCGTCTATCTCGAGCGGGAAGGCAACGTCGATATGCCGGATAGGCAGTGTTGCAGGGCGTAAAAAGATGCAGCACACTCCAACTTCCATTTCCCATGCACACCAGAACAAGCGACGCCGCATGTCGCGCTGATAGGCCGATATCCTGGGGTCGCTTGGCAGTTCCTGGTGAAGACCGAGGTCAATGACTGCCTGGCTGATTAGACCTGTCAAAAGCCACAAGTCTGCCATTTTCGGATTCAGGAAAATGTACTGAGTCAGGAGCAAAATGGCCTGCAGTCCAGGGATATCGTTTGTGGCAACTTCCGGGATCCATTGCATGGCGTGGCGAACCAGCTGAAAGGCTAGGTCGTTCGCCTTGCGAACGTTATTTCGCGCGCTGGTGGTCAGCGATATGGCCATGATGATGCAAACTATGTAGCGGTTGCGAAACGACTCTTCGTCTACTTCCGGGGTTGCGACATTCTTGTGGTAGATGGAGCTGAAGGCGGTTATCACATCATTGCGATGGTAGATCGGGTACTGCGTGATGACGCGATCCAGATAATTGCGCAGCAGCTTGTTTGCGCCGACCTCATCGGGCATCAAGTCGTAGAACAAGCCTCTAGTCTGTTGCGGGTTCAGTATGGATCGTGGGTGGTTTTCGTTCAAGTCATTGGACAGAACCGGCCCCTTTTTCGAAGGCAGCTGAGTGCCCTTGATGACGCACTGCAGGAAGGGGCGGGCTTTGCAAACACCGAGAAATGACGGCGTAATGTCCTCCATAACTTGGTTGACTAGGCTATCAGCAAAAGCACATTTCTCCGGACGCCACTGCCCAGCCTTTGCGTCAGAGACACTGGAATCTGCGGGCGACGGCATGGCAGCACTTGGTGGGCCCAAGGGGTGCAACTTGGACTGAGTGCTGTGAGCCTCGAGCCGGACCAGGTGGGCTTCTAGGAAGTCGGCAATGGATCGCGGAGCCTCCTGCTGGGTGGCAGAGTCAAAGCCCACGCACTGCGTCCCTGCATCGACGCAGCGCGTACACGCCGGGACCTTGCCGTCGCACTCGTCAAGTCAGTAAACGCGCGCGGGAGCTCAAGAGAGAGGCGGTCTTTACTGAGAGTTTGCGTTTGCGGCAGCGGGCACATGCGAGGACCCGGCGACGCACTTTGGTACGGCTTTGCATGGCGAAGAGGGGGGATGTCAGGTGTCGGGGCGTGTGTACCACGACGGCGTGGTGCACATGGCGTTGATGGAAAAAGGGGGGGAGCTGGAGGAGTAGGTGGATGGAATTGGTGCCTGGGAAGGAAGGGTGAGATGCTAGCTGCTAGCACTCGAGGGCACGCAGGATGATGCTGCTGCCTGTTGATCGCTGCTGCTTCGGGTCGCGCTTACCACATGCAGCCCGTTGTTCCCTCGCTCTCACTCTCACTCCCCCCCCCTCCCAAACCCAACCCCAGGCGGCCCCAAGGGCTGTTCCACATGCTCGGCGCCGGCAGTGAAGCGCTGCTCGAAACCCCATGTCTGCAGGCCTCTGTCTCTGCAATCCTCGCACACACGCGCCTCCATGACGGCCATGGCCAGTCCCAGTCCCCCGACGCTTGATCTCGAGGCGCTGATCCAGGTAACCCCAGACGCCGCCGCCGTCTAGAGCCATGCACTCAACTTCGCCAGAGTCTGCCTGCATGCAAGAGATGCCGAGAGTGTCGCCGTGGCTGTGATACGCTACTCCCCAAGTGCAGGTACCTTGTCTCGCCGCCTTACACAGGAAGCCTCTCCCTAACGGTAACAGGCAGTGCACAAAGGCCGGCGTCGAGTGCGTCTTCTACGACCATGGGCGCAATGAACTGCTATCTCGAAGGCACGCAGATATGTCCATCCTGCCGACCCAAGCTTACATGTTTCCAGCTACATCAGCGGGCTTGTAAATCGTGTGCGCAGTCTATCAAGCGAGCATCCTTCGCCCGCTGCCTCGGGTGGCGCCGTGGATCATGGCGCATTCAGCGCACAGGTCGAGGCTGAACCCTTCGCAGCAGATGTGCAACACCATTTCGCTGAGGCGGGCAACAGCTATCGATATCTGGGCGCAGAGTCCTGCCTCCTCAAGTCGCCCAGATTGCATACTGCACAAAACATTCGCAGCGAGCAAGCCGACGATGAACTCGACCAATGGCACTTTGCCAACAAAGGCTCGGCCGAAAAGCAGTATGAGCTGATGCAACTGTACCTCGAGATTGTCCAGCCCGTCTATCCCATCCTGGACCCTTCACTGCGCTATCTGAGGCCCGAGTTACCCACCGACCTCTCTTCCACCGAGCGATTCTCCTTGTGCATGATTTACTCCATCGCATGCTACATTCTCCCCAATACTGGCAAGAAACAAGCAAACAGCCAAGGCTGGAGCCCCTCAGGTAGGCTTTCATATCACCAGGCCAACTCAATCAGGTACCGCGCCTTGGCCACGCAGTATTTTGCCGACGCCATGGAGCACCTGGATGTCGCAACCTTGGAACCAAATATTGATACAATCCGCTCCATCCTGCTGCTTGCCATCAACAGCTCATTCGACCCCTTGGCCGGCAATATCGGACAGCAAGTGGCTCTCGCAGGACGTCTGGCCTTTGATCTCGAGTCCAAAAGAGCATTACAGGAGCTGGAACCAAATGATGCTGAGATGCTTAGGGCCATGCACATGACCATCTTTTGTCTCGAAAACCAGCTTGCATCCACCCTGGATCGACCTGCATCCTTCCCAGAGCCTGTATCTCTATCCATCTGCCCAACACCTTTCACGTACTTACTTTGTACAGGAAACAGAACTGTGCTTTGACAAGAGTAAACCCGCCGAGTATCTCTGCTCGTTGTATCGCATGCAAAACCGCTTCCGCAAGGGCGACGCAGTGGAAAAAGAGAACGTAAAGAAGTTGCTGCCTCTCTTTGATGAAAAGGATGAACTACTGCCCGTCATACGCACCACCTTGCACACGACGCATCTCTTGCTCAATCCTTGCTGGGGAAGCGCGTGGCATGTCCTGTGGGTAGCAGTTACATTGCTTTGTTTACGATACTAATCAGGACGCAGAGAGGCAGTAGTAAGCTACGGCAGCGTGCACGTCTTCAGCACGCCACACTGGGTCTACCGTGCCGGGACCGTCCTCATCCAGAACATGCCCGCAATCTTTGGCGGCAACCTTATCCAGCTCTATTCCAACGCTCTTCTCGTCCTGGAGCTGTCTTCTTGGAAATGGCCTAGTTCCGCTGCTCTGTCCGCATCACTGGTCGATTTGATGCAACAAATGAAGACAAAGTACAGGCCAGATTGGTCAGACAAACTTCAACACGGTGGCGTAAGAATATAACCTCTTCGGCCAGCTTGAAATGCAAGCACATTGCATGCCGATTTCTTATTTTTCTTTCTAATCATTTTCTCCAGATTTCCTATTCTCCTGCTACACAAGATGTACGCCTGAGACAGCTTGCCAGCCATGATGAAAAGTCACATGTGCAATATTGATTGCAAGGAACGCCCATGTTTTCTCTTTGCCGACGACTCTTTGGTTTTCTTTTCCTTTTTTTCGGCGTCACGTTTCTGTCATTCGCATGTGTAATATGGGCAAAATCTTCTTTTCTAGCCAGGAGTTTTGTTGGCTCTCGTTTTGGGTAATGGTGATGAAAACAATCACGTGTATTTATATGTTTAACACGGCAGAATGCAGGATGTCTTTCACGTATTATTTTATCTTTCATCTATTTCGAATTAGTTTTCTAGAAAAGCGTAGGACTACAACTTGCAGGTGTTTGTGTAGTTTAAATTGAAGAGTGCTGTAATATAGGCACATAATGTGGATGAGGAACAGAATGAATTTATTGAGCTACCCTCCATCACAAGCAGTGACATATAGCTTCTTTGAGCCTATCTTCTTGATTATGCATAAGACCAAATTCACCGCCACCATCAGCTTACTCGATCAAAGCATCGATAACACATGTTCGCGCTCTGATTTTCAACTACGATACAGAGCTCCCAGCTAGATTATCGGGTTCCTCGGCCGACTCATGAGGCATATCAGGAACGCGGCCTTCTCTCCTCAAGTTCTCATACAAGGCCAGCGCCGACAGCGCCTTTGCATCTCTCGCGGCCTCTCTCCAGAAACTCGTCAACGGAACTAGCTTCAGCTTGATTCTCTCACCTTCATGCTCAAGCCCTGTTGCTCTGCCTCTGAGCCACTCCATGTGCGGACGTGAAAGCCGCTTCTGGTACAAGTAAAGCTTGATAAACTCGTCGCATGCACCTGGGAAGCAGCAAATTACAGGATTAGCATTCGCCAACGGCAGAACAAAACACAGCTTTGAGTGTAGATCTTACCAGGACTGGGATACATTGCCGAGTGTAGTTCCTCTGCTGTAGATACAAAGTCACGCGATCCTTCTGACAAAGCCAGTTCAGTCAAATCGAGTAATTCGCTCGCCTGGATATCAAGATGTGCTTCTTCCTTGAGTTCCCTTGCTGCTGTCCCCGCAAAGGACCCAGAGTCATCTAGCATGCCAGCAGGAATCTCGGTAAAAGCCAGACTGGAAGCTGCAGGTCGAGGCTGCACAGTACAGATGACGTGTTTTTCGTCTTCACCGAGAGCGTCGCTTGGCTGGACAATGGCCTGTACACGGCAATCAACATATTTCCAGGCTAAGGGATATGGCTAAGGGGAATATTGGGACTTACGAGAATCGCTACGCTACCACCCCGAAGGAATGCTGCACCAGGCACCCAATCCCCCGCACCAGGCCCATTTCTAATCTCAGCTTGTATCTTCATGAAGCCGAGCCACGTATGCTCTTTCTTGTCAAACCAGTCCACAGCTTCGATATTCAGTTCTTCCAGTCGGTATGGCCGCTTGTGAAAGGGATGTGCTGCATTCTGCTGTGCATCTAGCGCTTTGAGCAGTCGCACAAGCCAGTTTCGCAGCGCGGGAAATCTGAAGGCTGGCTCGTTTTCCGGGCGCTCCAGTATCTGCTCGAATTCCGCTGCACTGAGATTCCAGGGGAGATAGACTGGAATCGGAGGGCTAAAGGTTTTGCCGTGGAATTCATGCAGTGTTAGAGCGGCGGGTGGCCTGGTTGAGGGCCGGGTATTGGGGTTGTGGATTTCCGTGCGCATGTTCGCGATTGGCGGTATAGACATATTCAGATATAGATCTGTTGTGTGGGAAAACTAAAAATTTAACGGTCCTATATCTGGAGATACACGCTCTCAGGTATACAGGTGTATAATGGAGGTCAAGTTTGAGTTATGGGGATGCTGGTATTTCCTCGGCCTAATTGTGATTTGCCTGTTCGTGCGCAGCAGAGACGCGGTCCGCATTGGACATGTTTGGCAGATATTGTACGAGACTGCATGTCATGATGAGCGTTGTAAGCATGCGGTGGCGGGCCGTTTGAAAGACAAGCAATAGTCGTAGGGATGTCTGGTCTGGAGCCACGGCACGCTCCACTTTCCCCACTTCCCCCACGCGCTGCCCCGCCATGGCATGCTTACCGTATTGGTATGGCGTTGATCGTATGCAGGGCAAGACCGGCCGCGAGTCGTACAGCTCCGCGCCCGCCACCCGCCAACCTTCACGCATCCGTTTGCTCTTTGTTCACCTGCGCCTTCACTTTTTTCTGGCAACCATTTGTACGCGCTGCTTTTTCTCGTCTCAGCTAACTGTACCGCACTCTTCTCCGCCCCTAGCTTACTCAACATGGGCACGCTGACTGCAGACTGCCCCCGACTCGACACACATTGCCCGCACAAGCTTGCCACGAGCTGCCGCCTGACCTCAACGCCGAATTGCTGTGCTTGCGCCGACGAGAGAGCCCATTCGCGAACATATCGCGTGTACATTGACGGAGTTGGTTTTGTGAATCGCGGGACAAGATGGCAAGGCTACTGCTGGTTCTGTAAAGGTGCGAACGATAGCAGTCGCGGCAATCCGATCGTAGGGCTGACCCTCACACAGAGTTCTGGAGTAATCGCCTTGCTGCCACCGACCCGCCGCTTGAGATCTCGCAAACGCGCATACCCGAGATACCAGATCAGACTGAGTTTCTAGAGCGATGGTGGGAGTTCCACCAGGGATACCGCATTGCGAAGCTTCCTGATGGCACAGAGCAACGCATCGCTGTGATAGGGGAACCGTTCAAGGAAGTCAGCCCTGGCTTCTTGCCACGGACGCTGGACCAGCTGCGGTCTGGTGTGGAAAATGATGCTTCAAGACCGGAGAATAGGTTTGGAAGGAGAAGGTTGACATCAGAGGAAGAGCGGCCAGAGCAGCCACACCAGAGCATTGAGGATGCGTTGGATGATCTTCTTCAAGAGGCGGAAGAGATTGCGAACACAGAGCCAGTGGTACCTACAGAGCCGGCATCGCTGGCTACCCCTCAGATGCAGCAGGATCCTTCAGAGCCGCCTCGGCCCATGACAAGACGAGAGGCACAGCTGCAGCGTGCACGAGAGCGCTTTGTTCGCGTTTTCGGCTCGCGCGAGGAATTGGAGCAGGACGATTACGAGTCGCCACTTACGCAAATGTACACGCGAGCATACGACCGCCACCGCCAAGCCGAGCAGCGAAGAGCAGAAGGAACAGACATCGCGCCTCGGCTCGATGCCTTATCAGCGCAAGATCGCCGAGAGATCGAGGAGCAACTGCTCTGGGGCGTGATGCGAGAATCACAGTCCATATCCGAGGGCCTGGAACCCGCGAGTGAGGTGTGGAGTTACGCGCCGCGGCGAAGAGGCGTCGAGGGCGAAGATGCCGCTGTGACGGAAGCGCGTTGGTTGGGCGATCACGGCGAAGTCGATATATCGCCCGAGCGCATGGCCTTTTTCGAGACGGGCGGCGCAGAAGGCGCAGAAGCAGCGCGTAGACTGGTCGTCGAGTATCGCCAGAGCCAGGCACGCGACGAAGCTCGCATCCGCGCCTTGCTGACAAGCCCCAATGTCGAGCCCAGCACAGCGAATCCCCGACCCACGGGCTGGTGGTCCCAAATCCGGCCTCAGCTGTCTGGCCTGCCCAGCCAGCCACTCACAGAAATGCACAACATCCGTCTGGATTTCGAACAGGAACTCGCTCGTATGCGCGCTGCTCGTCCGCCCTCGCCGCCGCTCGTCTCGCTCGATAACCAGCCAGATCGGCCGGCGCCAAAGTCGGAAGAGGAAATGACAAAGGTGCTGGCTTGCCAGGTGTGCTATCAGCAGTTGGCCGACATTGCCGTGCTACCGTGCGGTCACATGGTCATGTGCCAGTGGTGCGCAGATGTCGTGGTGCCCATTCGCCACGGACATATACCGCTGCGGCCGACAAAGTGTCCCATGTGCAGGAAGCAGGTCAAGCAGAGATTTAAGATTCACACGGGATGAGGTAGGTGTGTGTGTGTGTGTGGGAAAGCTACATGGCTAGTTTAATCATGTGAAAACATAATCTTGAACAATGGATATCATGAATTTGACAAGCGTCCATGTCATGAAGTTATGCGATTAGATTCATGTGCTGCTAAAACGCTTTTGCTATCGGACTGCCATGTGTCGTTCTAGCAGGTGTGTTGAAGAAGTGAGGAAATGGGTATACTGGGCTCTTCAAAAGACTTGCATTCTGCTCCCGGCATAGTTTGACTAAACTTTTGCTTGTATGCATGGTTCAGTGGGACCAAGCGAAGCCGTTCTTCTGTACAGTTCCCCTACCATGGTTTCATTGCCTCCAAGAAGCCAGGGACTGCCCTCTGAAGTACGCAATAGGATATATGTAGGATGATTTGCATCTCTGTCTACGGGTATGCCTGGGGCCCAAGAATGTCGCATTGACCTGTGCTGGAGCGACCACAGAAGATGAATACGGTAAGCATGGTGTTGGAGGAATCGTCGTGCTGATGCACAGTCCGTCGTACGTAGGAGCAGTGCCGCGTGTATTCTAGGAAGGTGGAACACTTGTTTTGTGTGCCATCAGAATCCCGATTCCCAGATGGAGCGATGTCACGGGTGTGTTCGCCTTGCGCTGTGGTGGTGTTGATGCTGGATGCATAGTCACGCCATGACGACTTTTCTAGTTGCATAGCAAGCCGGTTCTTTCCTGATATCGAGGTAGACGTTAATCAAGGGCGACGGAGCGTCTTGTAGACGCCGGTTGCGTTTGCGCATCAGAGACCGCCGTAGATGGCGAAAGAAGATAGGATAAGCACTAGTGTGTTGATGACGGCCCAGACAAAGGGAATCCACGTCGACATTTCAAAGTATCCGGCCTGGTACACGCCTCCGAGGCTAATCTAGTCAGCACATGCATGCACACTTTGGAGACTGGGATACGCACAGCCCGCCGACGATTGCACCCGAAATCAGGGCCTCGACGCCTCCTATGATGATGAAGACAGGCAGGGCGATCCAGATGAGCTTCCAGTTGCGCCATTGTATGACGCATGCCCACAGGGCCGTGATCAGGTGTATGCCGCCGAGCAAGAGGAGGGTCCAGTAGACGGTGAAGCGGAGGATGTCGTCGGGCCGGTAAAGGTAAAAGGACGGGTTGTGGCCAGGAGGAAGCGGCCAGTAGAGCGAGGGGAACGGAGGCGTCCTGTAGCCCAGCGGCACGGCCGACTCGATGCGCTGGATGAAGCTGGGGAAGATCTCGTTAACCACCATTGTGGACCAGGCCGTACAAGTAGACGCGCGGGAGGGGGAGCATGGTGTTGGGGCTGGAAACACGCAGGGGGGCTGTGAACAAGTAAATATGGGGGTGGGGAGGGACGAGACTCACCTGAATTTGGGCGACATGGTTTATGCAGCTGCGCGTCGGCGGGATTCGCGCGCCTGATTGGCGGGGCGGCCAGGATAATCGCAGCAGCAAGGCAATCTTGGCGAGTGAAAGCAAAATGCCCGTGACGTCGATCGCCGAGTGAATGTTGACGGCCAAGGCCCACGCGCTCACAACCTCGGCTCGGCGCGCGACGACTCTCCACCATTCCCACCACCCGCCGTCGCATCCCGACGTCCACCCTCCCGCTCATGCGCAGCTGCCCGTAGCCTTCCCCGGGCCCTGCGACTCCAAGATGGCTGTCGACCGCCTCTTGTCGACGCTGCTGCGCTCGCTGCAGACGTATACCGACCAGCAGGACACGCCGCGGTATGCATGCCCCCAGGCGACGCCCGCACCGCGCAAACTGACCACCACGACAGGCTTCTTGGGACCGCGTCGTCGCTGCTCACCACGCTCGGCAACCCCCACAATCTCAGTCTCCTGACCTCGCATCTGCTCACGGCCCCGGCCCTGTGGGACCGCCCCGATGGCGTGCGGACGCCCCTGCGCATGCTCTCCGTCTTCCACGCTGCCGCCACCACAATCGTCACCCATCACAACGACGTGCGCTTTGCAAAGGCCCCCAAGCTTGCCCCCGGCCAGCTTCCAACAGGCGGCGGCCTGTCGCTGGACGAGTGGATACGCGCCGTGGTAGCTGGCGCCGACGACCGCAGCCGGCGATGGAAGCATCTGGTCGTGCTCGGGGGCCTGCTGATTGGCATTGCCAATCTGGAGGAGCAGGGCATGCATCTGTACTGGGCGTCGGCTGTGCGCAAGAAAGTAGAAGCTGCGCTGGTGCGCGCGACCAATCTGGCGCTGGTCGAAGTGAGGGAACGCTCCGAGGCGGATGGCCTGGGAGGCCACACCATCACGCTGGTGCTCAACCACACCTTTGGCTGCATCGGCGAACTCGAGCGCACCCAGCTGGACTACGACATGCTGCTTCCCGTGCTGATTGGCACCGCCTTTTTCTCCAATGAAGGCTTCCAGTCGGCCTACTTCCTCGGAGGCTTGAATCTGGATGTGCGCGCGACCCCCTCCGGGAAGCTGGACTGGAGTGTAAGTTGAGATGGAGTGAATCGACGACCTGCACTGACGATACATAGCCACGCTCGAGCTCCTACAGGCAGGTCGAGGTCATGCTGAATAGGCCACTCGTCTCCTCAATGGGCCCTCTGTCGCGCCTGATTGCGCACTCGGTCGAGAATGTCAAGAACCCCTGGATCGTCCAGACCATGATGGACGACCTTGCCAGCTTTTCTCGCGCCCTGACAACGCAATGGCGGCAGACCAAGCTCTCTGACATTGAGCCCGCCGAAGAAGCAGCCAGCCTGGAAGAAGAGGCACTCCAGAAGACTACACCGCAATTGTGGAACCTTCTCAAGGCTGCCTTGTTTGCAACGACCATCATACTCCGCGGCGTCTTTACTCGAGTCATGGCTGACAAGGCCCTTGCTGCGGATGCCGTTGCCCCACTGCTTGCAGCACAAGCCTTGCAAATACTGCGCCATCTCTACTTTATCACGTCCAGGCTAGGCCCTGCCTCGTTTTCTCAACACACGTTTGTCTACCTCACAGCCATTGACATACTCGCCGCCTACCCCAACCATGCCGACAAATTCCTCAAAACCATAGCCTCGCAGCATCTGGGCAAGATCCCGAGCCATCCTCTCGATCGCATCCTGGATCTTTATTTCCTTAACACGGCAGAGCACTTTACCCTCGTACTATCACCAGCCACCAACGAAGACTTGCTCGTAGCATCAGCAGTGCCCTACCTTGCAGCCGGCGAGAACCGCCACATGCTGCCTGTATTCGAGGCCGCACATAGCGTCATGCTGGCAGTGCTGTCCGCCCCTCAATCAGCAGAAATCACAGCAAAGCATCTACCCTTCTACATTGACGCCTTGTTCGGGGTCTTCCCCCACAACCTGACACCCCGCCAATTCCGCCTCGCCTTCAAAACCCTCATGCGCGTCACAGCCCCTCCATCAGCCCTCTCAGCAACACACCCAGATCTCCCCGCCACGCTTCTGGAAATCGTCTATCACCGTGCGCTCAACGCGCCCACAGCCCCGCTTCCCCTCGATTCCGTCGCAATCGCACTCCAGGGCTCCGACGCGCCTCCCCCGGCCCTCTCCGAACAAGCCGTCCTCGCACTAACCCTAATCGACGCCCTACCCTACCTCCCCATCCCCTTACTGGAAGAATGGCTCCCCCTCTGCGCCGAGCTCCTCAACCAAATCGACGACGACGACATGCGCGACAACGCCCAGCGCCGCCTATGGGAGGTCCTTGTTAGCGGCGAAATGGATCCCGAGCGCAGTAATCTGGCAGTCGCCTGGTGGACTACTATGGGTGGTAGAGAGCGCGTCTTGTATGGACGTGAGGATTCAGGTCTCAGTTACATGAGTGGCGCTTTACCTGTTGCTGAGGAGCGTAATGTACGTCAGAGTAAATTGTAGAGCTGTTGTTGTTGTTGCTGCTGTTGTTTAGTTAGTCAGGTACCACGTTGTTTATGATACCCCATATTTTTGGAGTTTTTTTTTCTTCTCAACATTTCTCTTTGTAGTACAGTATCCTTGATTTTTTTTTCTTTTTTAGGAGCCTTGGTTGTATGTAGTGAGCGCTGAGAGAGGAGGGAGAGAGACTTTTTACCTAGCTGCAGCATGAGCGAGTATGGAATTTTTCTATTCCCCCACTCCCCCCCCCTTTTTTTTTCGTCGTGTCCTGTTTTCCCACCAAAACACTATCTCCACATTGACATCTGACGTGTTTATTCTGATGGGTCATTTACCAACAATGATCTCTCCCTCTCCCTCTCTCTCTCTCTCCCTATCTGCTTTCCCTGCACCTCTCCATCCATCATCGCAAAATACACTGTCGTCATGTAACACGCACAATCCACAACGGTATGTAGCTACATTGGTGGTACTCATCCATCCAAACAACACTCCAGCACCATCTTTCTTTCACATCCACACCCATGCCCCGCCGTCTCTTCACTCCGCATCTGCCCTTTGCCCTTCCTTCCCCTATTGAGAGCACTGCATGTCTTTTCCTCCCCGGTGTTTTGAAACTTGACCGCGAGTACTATCCAAGTACATCATTTTTCTTGCTTGAAGCGTAAAGTACAGTAGTTGTAACGAAAGTGACTTCATCGTCATCTTCATATATATATTTTCTTTTAGCACAACTGAATAAAGATACATACATACCTACATCCAAGAAAACGAATGCATAAAGAAAAAAAAGGAAAGAGTACGTAGTAGACAACAAATAAACTAATCGCTTAATGAAATCCGTAAGAATTTTATGTTTAGCAAAATGGAAAAAGAAAAAATAAGGCTAGTGTACGTACATACTGGAAAAGGAAAAAAAAGGGAAAAAGGAAAAAGGCGAGATAGTTTTTTTTAAACTCCTTGGAAATAACAAACGAAAAGAGAACAAAAACAAAAACGAAACGACGTGTAACTATAGGCTTGATGAACAAGATTTTGAAAAAAAAGAGGGAAAAAGGGAAAAAAGAAAAAAGAAAAAAAAAGAGCTATGCTATGACGATACAGAGAAAATCCAAGAGAATAAAAATCCCCCCACTCCGTTTCCCGTTCACTTTCCCTTCCTAAAGCGCCAGCGCACACCAAAATACACCACCAGGCCTGAACTAGACAAAAAAAAAACTCCACACAAAAGGAATTCTGAAGACGTGGAATGATGATAAGACGCCATCGCCATGCTCGAGTTATGCATAATTTACAGTAGGAATTGCAACTTTGCCCCCTCCCATGCCCTTTTCCCACGTCCCCCCTTTTTATGTACTCCTCACAAAGTGTCACTTATTCACACTCTTCATGTCTCCTTCTCCTTTGGGCTCATGGTGCGGGACTCGGATCGTCGGCGGACGACAGCGTCTTTTAGTGCTCTTAATCGCTCTTCGGTTACGCGGATGGCTTCGTCCATGTCTTGGTCTTTCATGTCTCTGGGGGAAATGTGATGTTGCATGTCGGCTTCGGGCTGGAACCTTGTGGCAGTCACGGTATGCTGGATTCTGTCCAGGGCGACCCTCTCTTCAAGCCAGTCCCACAGCTCCGACTCTTCATGACGCCAAATCTGTTCGTAGGCCACCTGTCGTTGGGCATGTGACCATTGGTTGGGGCCAGTGACTCCGGTAGAACCGCGGAAAAGCCATGTGTACAACAAAAGACCAGCCAGAAACCAGATAATCATTTGCGGAGTGATGATAGACTCGAGAATATCGGCGACTGGGCCTAATAAACTGCGCACAGGCTCCAGCATGCCCCAGTTGCTTTCCTGGGCTTGGCTGACGGGCGTAGGGGCTGAGGTGGGCGCAGGAGCATCGTCCAGGAGGTTGCCCTTGGAGCGTTTCTTGCCCTTCCCCCCCTTGCCCGGTTTCGATGCACCAGCTTTAGCGGCACTTACAGCGGTGCGGAGAGCAGCGGTGAGAGAGGTTGCGTACGACATCTGGCCGTCGTTTGCACCTTTCTCAATAGGACCTAGCCATGGTTAGCATGTTTGAATAACCAAGCACAGGGCGCAATCTTACCTTTCAGCCAACTCTTTCCGCTCCATTCGACGGTAAAGGTCATGATGAGCCGCGTGCTGTTTCCCGGTCCCCACATCAGACAGTATCTCGTCTTGGTGAGGAAAATGCTTCCATTGGGTACATCCGGAGTTGATGTGCTGCATTGAACACTAATAGCTTTTTCCAAGTCGAATTGTTCCAGGGTCATCGAGATGTTGCACTTGGTTTGCTTTGGCCCAACAGGCGCATTCAGCGGCTTGATGTATGAATAGTTGAAAGTTTTGGTGTCTTCGCCCAAGCCCTTCTTATCGTCCTCCATTTGGAGGTCGGCAGACTTTTGGTCTTCGACTAACCACTTGCGCATGAAGACGCCAGAAGCAGGCCCAAACATCAAGCTGTAGACCTTGCCCAGGGGTGCCTGAATTGTAGTGTCGATGAGTAGCTTATCGTAATGTTGGTCATTGTCACCACACTCGGTAGGTGCGTGGGCAACCGAGCCAGGGAAATCTTGTGCAGCAGCAGCGCCACCTGCTGCGGCAGCTTTCGCTGCATCGGCAGTGTCTCCACCGCCACCGTAAGCCTGTGATACGGCACCACTGACCTTTCGGGTCGTGTCCGCAGCCACAGAACCAGCTTCACTGCCAGTGACACTACCCTCGCCCGCCTCGATAAAACTGCCAACGCCATCGTCGTCTTCGGCATCTTCGTCGTACACCTCGTCGTCTGAGTCTTGACTGGATCCGTCTTCACTAGGAACCGATTCTGCCTTTTCAGTCTTGTCGCCTGTGCCTCCCGATCCGTCCAGGGTCACACCGTTCAGAGACGACTTGAGGTTGGGGTGCGATATCTTCCATATGCCGATAATCAGGTCGTAGGTCGAGTCTCGAGACAGGAACGATGCAAAGACATTGCGCGCATGGAGAGTCTGGATGACGATGGCATTCGGGAAAAGGACCGCAGTCGACTTCTTCTCAACAGACACAACCTCATCGAAGCTAATGACCAGGTTGGTGACCCATCCCAGGATGTTACTGGAAAAGCAGAGATGACCTTCTGAAACATACAACCGTCCGTGGAGCAGAATTTCCTTTTGGAGGGCAGCGCTATAGTCCTCAATCAGGTAGTCGTCCTCGGGAACACTCTTGAAAAGATTGTGAAAGTCCTTGTTTCGTTTTGGCGGTGCGACTGCAAAACCGGTTCCATTCAGGCGCTGGCTCTGCAGTGCTGCACTTGGGGCTAGCGTACTCGTGCTTGCGCTAGCGATTCCATTCAGCGTGTTTCCTGTAGAGCTGCCTCTATGCCGTCTCCGCCTGCCGGCGCTTATGCGACTGCGCACACTGCCTTGTCGTCCTACAGATGCCGGCGAATCGGTAAGCTCTGCTTGTCGGGGAGGAGAGGCCGCGCCATTGCCCGATTGCCCAGACACGGCCGTTGCCGACCGCGGGCGCTCACTGGATACCGATGGAGCCTTTTCGCCTGCGTATGCGGCAGAAACAGCCTGGGCAGCCGCCCTGTCCTCGACCTTGGCCGAGGCCTCGTCTGTCTGCATGGCTAAGGTTATCGTCGAAGATACGGAGCCGGATTCCGTGTTATCGGAAATGCCAAGTTGTTCAAGACTCAGATTCCCAGAACCCAAAGTCTCGATGGCTGGCCTACGCTGTTCAGTGCCTTGCGCTGCAGTTGTATCGGCGTTGATTGGTCCAATCACCTCCTCGCCACCGTCTGCCGTTTCCTTGTCGTCCTTTTGCAGTTGTTGGCTAGCCTTGTGCTTTGTGTTTTGGTTGATGTTGATGGTGTCAGTTAAATTATTAGCAGCGTTCTGCGCGGCAGAGAATATGGAAGCGAAGAAACCAGAGCCACCAGCAGATTGAGGCAAGACAGCAGTCCCTCCAGGGGTTTTTGTCTCTTCGAGATGAGGCGTTAGAGGCGGGATGGACGATTGAGATAGCTTGCTCGGAGGATTTGTTGCTGATCTCGCGCGTCGGTGCGATATCATGTTCCCCGAAGGGGACACGACGATATTTGGATTTGACTGCACAGGCGGAGACTTGGGCGCTGTAGGCGAAGTGGCGTTTCCGTCCGTGGGTGTAGGTGGAGTTATGAAGGTCGTAGGTGCATCGACTAGATTAGGAGGCGTTGCGGGTAGATTGGCGGTAACAATACGTTGGGGCGGCGGCGCTCTAGGCGATGAACTCGATGGCGACTGTCTGCCGATGACGATTTGCGGTGGTGAGGCTGGCAGAGGCTCGTCGACGGCTTTGGCTTCGCGCTTTTTCCCCCCAAACAGTGAGCCGATTCCGCCGCTTGTGCTTGGCCTCGCAGTGTCCGTCTCAGCGCCAGCCTTGGAGGCAACAGGGGCCGTCGACTTTCGGCTGGGGGCAAATGCTTCTTTGAGCTTTCCGACAGGCGACACTCCCCGCTTGGCGACAGGAACGTCACCGGTGCTAGCGCTGCGGCCACTGACGTCTTGGGTGGATGCAAGGGAATTCACGAGCGTAGCATTGGCGGAATCGGTGGAATCGAGCGTCTCGGAGGCGATCAGGGGCGACGAAAGCGTCAGGAGGCCGGCATGCGATTGATGCGGCGATATGCCGGGGCGCTTGAGCGGAGGTTGTGATGGTGGGCTGCAGGCGATTAGTCGGAACGTGCACGGCGAGCAAGTGGGTATGTGGCAAGGAAAGGTGCGCCGGGCGTGGGAACGAGTGGTGGGGGGGGGGGAACAAAAGGAACAACGAGGGCTGAAAGCGGACATGCGAAGGGCATGCAATCATGTACTGTACACGACGCTGGGGGGGAGACGGCGCGCGTGCGAGGGGTGGGGAAGCTGAGGCCAGAACGTGCATGCTTGTTCGCAGCGGAGTCGGTGCTCTGACAGGGCCAATGCCACGGGGCCACACCAGCGACGCAACCCTCGCCCCTCCCCCCCCTGATGTGTCGGCGCGGGCGCTGGATGGCGGCCGAAGCGCACAGCTGAAACTGGGAGCCATGGGGAAAACAACAGGCAGAACAGCAGGAAGAGGCGACTTACGTTTCGGCGTCCGAGTCGTCGGTGAGCAGGCTGCTGGTGACGCTCTTTGCGAGGCCCAGCGAGTCGTCGCTCTGGTATGGCTGGCCCATGTCCGGCCGCCTCAGCTCAGGAACGGGCGGGACAGGCTCGTCAGGGTCCGCCTGCAACAGGTCGTCATGGCTACCAGAGGCCGACACGGATGCCGAGAGCGACGCCCGCCGCTTCTTGCGAGGCTTGAACAGCTTCGACATGCGCCGGCGGTGCGACGACGACGCGTCGCTGCGCCCGTCTTCCGAGTTCTGGCGGCTCTTGAGGCGGTCCGTCGCGCCGTCGCCCGCCTTGGACATGGTGTCGTCGTTGCTGCTTGCAATTGACACGGTCGACGACGCCGCGCCCTTGGAGAGCGCCCGCGGCGTGGCCAGTGTGTTTTCTGCGTCTCGGGGGGCCATGGGCGAGCCAATGCTCCTGCGCCGCTCGTGCTGCGCGGCCATGGTGGTGGGAGTGGTGGGAGTGGGAGTGGGAGGAGCGGTAGTAGCAGTAGTAGTAGTAGTAGTAATCGTCGGAGTGTGGGAGTTTGCGCGGGACGGGGGGAGCAGAGCAGGGCGATGCAGCGACTCGAGGCGTTTCCTATGGGCGGCTGCCTTAGGCCTGCATCATCGACTGTCGCGACGCTGTCGAGGGGCTGGCAGAGTCGAGGCAGCCGTTTTTCCAGTGGGCAGGTTGGCTGGGGTTGGCGACGAGGATCTATTGCGTAGGTCCAGGCTGTGGCGACGCGCTCCACACTACTGGGCGACAGGGTATGCGCAGACGTCGCTGGGGGGGGCGATCACATTGGCGGCATGGCCGGGCGTGGTTGCGGTGGTTGCGGCGGCGGCGGCGGCAGCGGTGGTGGTGGTGGTGGTGGTGAGATGGAGGGACGGGTTGCAGAGGCGTGTGTGTGTGTGTATATTATATGGCGGTCCTGAATTAGAACAAGCACAGGAACAAGAACAAGCAAGCTCCCGCGTAGGACCGAGAAGTGAAACCGGGCCCTGGGTGCCGCTCTCTGGTATGAGTTCACGGTTACGAGGTCATCCAGTAGCGGCGGGCGCTTGACCCAGTGATCGCCTGCGACATTGCATGGGGGGAGGGGGGGCGCGGCCCATCCCTGTCCCTCACCACCACGGGCGCCCGCCGTCTTACCACGACCACGCCCGCCCATCATGTGCGCCGCTGCTCGACACCACCGCGCCCCGGGCATGCTCCACCAACACCAACACCAACACCACCAGAACCACCACCACCATGGAGTCGGCTCATCTCACCCACGCCCACGACCACGCCCGCTCTGCCGCGACCGCGACCCGCACTAACAGCGTCGCGACGGCGGGGCAGCAGCACGACCTGGCCGCCGCCGCCTTCCACAACGCCGCCCAGGACACGCACAACGCAGAGGTATAGTATAGCATAGCATGAGACGGCACCCAGCCACACGCGCCCCCCGCTGACGCTGCCCCCTCGCAGGCTCTGCGCATCCTCAGTCTGCTCGAACACCACCACCGCAAGCTCGCCGGCCTCATCAAAGAAGCGCCGCCCAAGCAGAAGAAGGATGCCGCCGCCGCCGCCGCTGCTGCTTCCAAGCAGCTCTCCCACTCGACCACGTCGGCCCTGTCCAAGTCGTCGGCCGCCCTCACCCACACTGCTGCCCCGGCCTCTTCTCCCCCAGCCGCCCCAACATCGCGCCGCAGACTCCCCCAGTCGTCGATAGCCACCAACTTGGCCGAGAAGCGCGGCATCCCCAGTGCGAAGCGAGCCAGCAGCGCCGCCTCGGTCAACACGTCCAACGCTACCGCGGCCCGCCACGAACAGGCGTCTACGCCCGTCCGCGACCTCCTGGCCCAGCACTCGCGCAAGGCAGACGCGGCGCCCGCCCAAGACTCGCCCAAGCACGTCAACGACGCCTCACCGCCGCGCCCCCCGCCCCCCGCCGACGACAACTTCCGCCGCTTCTACTCTGCCTTTGGCGGCCTGATATCCGCCATCAGTGCGCCGCTTGCCTTTACCTCGCTGCCGCTCAACCCCTCAACATCGCCCGCCGAGCCCGAACCCCCCAAGCAGGATGAAAAGGCCGTCCGCACAAAGTCGCGAAACCACTCGCCCGAGGCGTCCAGGACCGTCCGCTCGTCTGTTCCCGATCTTGCCGCCCTCATCAGCAAGCCCGCTCTGCGCGCCCTGAGAGAGGACGGTGCGCCTCCACTCGGGCCCAACGAGAGCTTCTACCTGGTGCCCACGGCAGGGGGCACAGTCACGTACGCCAGTGTCCTGCGCGATCCCAACGCGCCCAATGTCGCGCCAAACACGCAGTTCAACACGCTCGACGAAGGCTCCGGCTCCCTGCGCGGCAGCTCCCACGAAGAATTCGTCGACGCCCGCGAGAATGTCGGGCCCCCCTCGCCCAAAACCACGCGCCGCCCCCTCTCGCGCGGAAGCACAGGCACAAGCGTCACAACGCAGCTGAACATACCCGCCGGCCGCGGCTCGCGCCACAAGACCATGGAGGAGCTCGCGCTCGAAAATGACACGCTCAAATCCGTCATCGACAAGCAGGCCAAGCGCATCCAAATGTGGGAACTCAACTCGCAAAACTCGTTCAACGCACTCGCACAGTCGTTCCGTGCTCGCGGCCCGGGACGCGGAAACTCGGATCCAAACGCCCTGGCTCTCGCGGCCGCACACCACCAACATGGCGTCCCCTCGATGCCCTCACCCCCCATGCCCCAGCACCAATCCCACCCCCCCTCGCCCGGCGGCCCCAGCCCCGGCTCTGCTGCCGGCCCAGACCCCGAAGCCGCCAAGCGCATAGCCGACCTCGAGGCCCTGGTTGCCTCGCAGAATGCCAAGATAGATGATCTCATGTTCAACAACGAGAAGCTGGCCAAGCAGCATGAGCGAGACGCCCAGGTCCTCGGTAGATATCGCGAGCAGTGGGAGAAGCTCAAGGCCGGCGCCCGGAAAAAGGAGCAGGAGAGGCGCGACAAGAAAATGGCTGATGTCAAGGCGAGTGCCTCGTTGGTGCGCGACAGCCATGTCTTGGATAAGCTTGCTGCCCAGGGAGAGCCTGGTCCTGGGGACAGGAAAGAAGAAGAAGACAACAACGACGACGACGACGACATGCAGGAGGAGCCTGGCTTTGGAAAGGCCTAGCTAATCCCATATTATACATAGTCAGTAGTAAAGGTGACAAAGCATCCTCCCCTTCACATATCATACATAATAAACCTTCACACGGACATGGTCATCACGGACAAACTCAAACCTTGTTCAAATCAAACTCAAATGTGGCATTACTAGTCACGTCATCTCTCATCCCGGACGAGCCTTTTCGCCTGTGCCTTGCAATCTGACCCGGCAATATCTCCTTTGGTCCTCCCGCCGCCCTCGTCCAACGCCTCCCAAGATAAAAAAAAAGGCAAAAAAACAAAAAAAAACTTCAAAACTCCCCAAACCTGCCAGTCTCAGCTCCACCCCCCTGAACAAGAAATGCCCCCATGCCTCGCTCAAGCAGCAGACGCAACAGGCTTCTGCGTAATGGGCTGGTAAGAAGGCGCCACGGGTCCACCAACAGTAATCTGCTGTGTGTCCATGCCGGCAGCATGGCCCTCAAAGTCGGGCGCGTCAGGGTGCACACCAACACGCTCCTTGGCCAGCAAGTCCACCAGAAGAGGGCTGGGCTTGTTGCTCCTCTGCGAGAAGCTGGCCTGCTGGTCCTTGTACTGCTGCACATTCTCAATGTACTTATCAAAGAGATAGGCAGAGTCCAGAGGTCCACCCTTGGCCTCGGGATGGAACTGGGCGCTGAAAATGGGCCGAGTGCTGTGGATCAGACCCTCGTTCGACTGGTCGTTGAGGTTGGTGAAGTACTCCTTCCATTCGCTGTTCAACGTCGTCGGGTCGACTGCGTATCCGTGGTTCTGCGACGTAATGTGGCACTTGCCAGTCGTGAGGTCGAGCGCCGGGATGTTGTGAGCACGGTTACCGTACTTGAGCTTGATGGTCTTAGCACCAGCAGCAAGGGCAATCAGCTGGTGACCCATGCAGATGCCCATGACGGGCAGCTGCGACGTCTCAAACAGCTTGCGGAGATTGTGCACCGTGGTTGTGCAGTGGGTTGGGTCACCAGGGCCGTTGGAGATGAAGACACCGTCAAAGTGGTGGGCAACCTTGTGGATCGGGTAGTCGTAGGGGAAGCAGGTGACGCTGGCACCGCGGGAAACGAGGCTGCGCAGAATGTTCTCCTTGACACCACAGTCGATCAAGGCAACGTGCATGTCTCCCAGAGAGGAACTGACGTGGAAGGGTGCCTTGGTCGAAACACGACGCACGAGGTGAATAGCCTCGGGGTCAATGTACGCCTCATCCTCGTCGGCATCGTATTCCTCGCCAACCGAAATGCGGGCAAGAGAGGAACCTTGCTCACGGAGGTAGGTCACGACCTCGCGAGTATCAACACCGGAGATGGCGGGAACACCCTCACGAGCGCACCATGCTCCAAGCGACTCGACAGCAGTCCAGTGGCTGTGCTTCAAGGCATAGTCTTGGACCACGATACCAGAGGCTTGAATGTATGGAGACTCAAAGTATCGGAGCAGGCCATGCTCGTCGCGGGCACTCGAGGGCACGCCGTAGTTGCCAATTAGCGGCTGGGTAAAGACAAGAATCTGACCGCGGTACGAGGGGTCCGTCATGGACTCTGGGTATCCCACCAGCGAGGTTGTGAAAACGGCTTCACCGGAAATGTTGGTTTTGGCACCAAATGACTTGCCGGAAAAGATGGGGCCGTTCTAGAGAGCGGTGAGTCTGGTGCCCATTGTTTGCGGCTATGACTGTGCCTACCTTGATGGTAAAAGTAGCGGGCTCGTTGGACACGGCCGTGGCCTTGCGCATACTGGGAGTGGGAATTGCCCGCTCAGTGTTGGATTGCACAGTGGCCAGGTAGCGAGCCTGGAGGCGGTTGTTTGCCGCTCGTCCCAGGAAACCGGCGGACCGGACCGCGGAAGGCTTGAATAGTTGAGAAATCATGATGAGCGGAGATGTGGTGTGAATTTGTGTTTGAATCGGTAGTGAGGGGATTGGGTAGGCTTTCAGTTCACTGATGCCTTCCACAGGTGGTCTGCGTGTGCAGTTAGCTTGACGCTGTCGACGCGTCCATGTTCTGGCAGCAGCATACCTGAGATGTAATCCTGCAGTGCTCAATTAGCCATGGTCTTTGAGAAGGCAAGTGCAAAAAGCGCGGAGAAAAAGATGCACCAGCTGTCAAGCCATTACATTACGGCATAAGACCGGCGGCGGTGAGTTGACGGCGTGCGGCAACTTGGAGATAAGAGGTCATCCGCCGCTGGCTGTCACTACGTACCTGGGAAGTAAAAATTGTAGGCGCAGCACTCATATGCGCGACTCTGTCCTGGTAGAGCTCAAAACGGGGTGGGTTCAATCAGTCGACCCTTGTTGCAGCTGGTTGTCGGCGTGGATGTGGGCGGTAAGAGGAATGCGTGTTGTGGTGGTCTTGGTGAGGAGAAAAGGTACGGCGGGGGTTTTCCCTCGAGCTCACGATTACGTGAAGGCTGCGCTATGACGCCGACGCACCAATAGACGGCCCTGACAATTACGATAACGCTGGAGTCAAGGCGAAAGAATCTTCAAGCACCGCATCAGGATCTGGGGAAAAGGGCACGAGGATCGTGAATCACGGCCCCACTGCCCTTGTGCCTTTTTTGTATATCCCTGCTTGTGCAGCGCGAGAGGCGTTGGTTCATTGAATCCCAACATGTATGTAAGCAGTGCTTGCGCTGTTTGCATGTATCGTCGCGTCGCCATTGTATACTCTTTGTTAACAGCCTCCCGTCGTCCTCGATCGCGATGCGCAAGCCACGGCGAAAAGAGTCACAGTGTGCTTACTGGCTGTGTCCGACATCGGCATCACTGCGGTCTGTTGCTGGCCGACGTGCTAGTTTGGCCGAACTTTTTTTTTCATCTAGGCCTATGTCAATCACGCCCTAGGTGGAGGAGCATTATTTTTTGCTGCTGCACAATTGGCCGCTGCATGTATGACTAGACCGCAACGGGAATCTCCGCAAGATAGACGAATTGCGCATTTGCTACACGTGACCAAACAACGTGGCCTTGGTGCCGTGTGCCGCCAGCCAGCCAGCGTATGGCACGTATATACGTAGAACACAGAAGAAGCCGCTGTCAAGTAGCTCCGCGGCACCCTGGCATCTTATCTGTCCTCCCCTGAAATGCCTCTAAACAACAATCTTACCCGTCAGCCTCACGTCTCGCGAGCTGGACCCCACAAAGACACTGTACTCGCCCGCGGCAACAGTCCATTTCCTTGTCTTCTCGTCCCAGTAGCTCATGTCCCTCCTTCTCAGCTTGAATGTCGCAGTTCCGCTGGCTCCTGCCTCTAGCTTGAGCTTGGTGAAGCCCCTGAGTTGCTTTGGTGGAGAGTTGGTGGATGCAGGGTAGCCTAGGTACAGCTGCGGCACCTCGGCACCAGCAACACCACCCGAGTTGCTGATCTTAGCGGTCACGGTAGCCACTGTCTCGAAGAGATCGACAGGGCCACCAGGACCAACAGCTCCGGTCGAAGGACCAGCCGAAGGCTTGCCTGACAGTGCAAGGTCGGAGTAGGTGAAGTTGGTGTAGGAGAGACCAAAGCCAAATTCAAACCTGGGCTGAATGTTTTCCTTGTCAAAATGGCGGTAGTCGATGAAGAGGTTCCACGACTTGTCGTCGCCGCTGGCAATCGTGGTACCGTAGTCCTCTTCCCTCTTCGCAATGGTGTAGGGAAGCTTGCCGCTCGGCGACGCTGCTCCATACATGATGTCGACAACACCATTTCCGGGCTCCTGGCCTGGAAGACCGGCCCAGACGACGGCAACGACATTGGGGTTATCGATCCACTGCTCCATGACGATGGGTCCAACGCTGTGAACAACCACAATCGTCTTCTTGTTGACAGCGGCAACCGCCTTGACAAGCTCGTTGCCATTGTGCCATGGATCTAGGTTGGTCCTGTCACCAGGGTTGCCCTCGACCGTGATGTAGCCTTCGCCAGCGTTGCTGTTGATGCACACAACAGCAATTTCAGCATTTTGAGCCGCACTAGCACCTTGCTGGGCATTGTCGTTGGGCGACGAGGTCACAGTTGTGCCGTCCTTTTGAGCCTGCGTCTTGATGGCATCCAACGGTGCAACCATGTCGGATGGAAGCTCAACTGAGCCAGAGCCCCAGCCCATAGTAAGAACACCTTCGGTGCAGCCACGGTCGACACAGGCATTGGCTCCTCGGGGTGCGACGATACTGTCGCTTCCAATGACGGCAATGCTCTTTGGCTTCTTGAGGGGCAGCGCAGCATTGGCGTTCTTAAGCAGGACAATTCCGTCACGGGCCATGGCGCGGACGTTGGTCTTGTGGTTTCCGCTGACCTCATGTCTGCCAATGCTCCACGAGTTGAAGGAAGTGGCAGGGTAACCTTTGTCCTGGCCAACAAGATACCACGCAGCAAGGATGCGCTTGACCATGTCATCGAGGCGCGATTGCTGAACCTGTCCGTTGCTGATGGCACTCTTGAGTTGTGGGCCCCAGTACACATTGTTGTTGCTAAAGTCGGTACCGGGCATAGTCATATCCAGGCCACCATTGGCACTACCGGTTGTAGTGTGTTGTGCTAGAATTTCGTGAGCCAGGTTTGGAGTGACTGTCTATGCTGAACGTACCATTCCAGTCCGACATGATGTATCCACGGTGGCCAAGCTCGTCTTTCAAGAGCTTGTTCATAACACCGTCGCTTTCGCACGCCCACGTCCCGTTGACTTTGTTGTAACTGAGGCATTTAGCATCTGTCTAAGCGCGCATTTTCTACTCAGACTTGACTTACCTGCACATAACGGCCGCTGCCTTGCTGTGGATCGCATCCATAAAAGGCCAAACATACAGCTCGCGCATAACCCTGTCGCCCACATCGGAGCTCATGGTATATCTGTTGCGTTCTTGCTCGTTGACGATCCAGTGCTTAGCAGTGGCCTGGACACCAGATTCCTGCATGCCCTCGATAGTCTCGGCCATCATGATGCCCTGAAGATAGGGATCTGATCCGAATCCCTCCCAGTTGCGTCCGCCTTTGGCAAACTTGCCAAGAGGTCCGGAAGAGGGGCCTAGTTGCACGTGTACTCCCAGTGCCTTAGCTTCGGCACCGAGGAAGGCGCCTCGCTCCCTTATGAGGTCGATATCCCAAGTGCTAGCAGCATGGATACCAGCAGAGAAGGCAGTGATGCCCTGAACATAGCGGACACCAAGGGGACCGTCTGCATACTGTTAGTAAGCGGGCTTTCGAATTTCCCTGCAATGCATTTTGTGCAAGTGAACATGGGGCTCTGATCCAGGCCCTTGTACTCGGAACCACGGCAGGCGAGATGCAGATCGCAGCACACGCTGGGATCTCAGACCTCGCACTCCCTGGTGTCGTACCCGAGCGCGGGTCGGCTCGAGACCTTTGGAACGGGTTTGCTTACCTTGCAGACAAAGGGAAGGGTATCCAATTGAACTGGCAGCCTTGGTGTTACCAACACATGGGCCTTTCATCCACCCAGTGCCTGTAACGATGCCAATCTTCTCGTCTTGCGACAGCCTGGCAAGAGCTGCCGTTGCTTTGGTGTATGCGTCATCCCAAGTGCCCACTGCACGTTTCGATACAGGTTGATCGAATGGGACGGCTGGCCATGTTAGTAGTAGTCATAGTATGCGAGTAGCAAAGGCGTACCTGTGGCTAGCCCAGCCATGGCGAGCACGGGAAGGCAGATGGACCGCATGGTTGAAAATATCAAAGCCGTGGAGTCAATGAAAGTCTTCGACTACAGCCACGGCGGCGGCAAGAGTCCCCATTAAGTACTCCTGTACCATCTCTGCACCGGCACGTCCAAGCCGAAGCGACTTCTCCTGCCAAACCCGTCCCTTGGCATATTACAGCGTAAAGCATGCGGAACATGCATCTTCTTCCGTACCAAGAACAAAGCTGCCGCATGACGTGTTGCGTCGAGGGGTAATCGGTGGGTTTGATGAAGCCGTGAAGGGGATATATGGCGGCGGCCCGTGATTCCTCTGTTTAACAGCCGGCGAACCAGGGCTTTGGCGAATGACAACACCGCATGTCGCATCACGTGAGGCGGGCCACTGGGCATACAATTACCGTCCTGCTAGTGCGGGAGGGAGTGGGAGCCTTGTGGGGAACAAGCGGCTCATCCCCATAATAGGCAATTAACAGGACTGGACTGACCGGATGACCGTCTCCGCCATTCGTCTGCCGTTTCTAGTCGTGAGCGCCTAGTGCTTAGCAAGTAATATGTTAGTAGGGCCTTTGCATACAGAAAATAACACATGTTCGCATCTCACATGCTGTTTTTGGTGAGAGAACCCTCTACCTGAGCACCCCTTGTCAATCGTCTTTTTCGTGTCAAACCCATCTTCTGCGAGGTGAAAAGGCCGCACTGCGTACCCCACATGACACGAATTGCTGCATCATATGATCTTCGGGTCAGGAGGAAAGGAAGTGGATGCAGGTATGGGAAGCGTAGTTTGGCGCAGTGTTGGCAATGCACAAGAGAGCAAGCGTCTGCTGGGGCTCTCCTCTGCCAAGCAACTCAAGACATGGCGGGCTCGGCATCCAGTGTGCATCCAGTGTAAGGTGACCAAGGTCACTTGATCCGCATTTGGGCTAGTAGAAATGGGGTTGGAAACATTTTAGAAAAAAAACTCAAGGGTATGTTGCATATTCACAGTCGTCATCCAGACGCAAACAATGTGCGCACGATGGTCGCTCTTCTGTGCATTTGCGTTTTCGGTCTTTGCAGTTTTGACAGCCATTTCTGGACCGTTTCTTCTTGGCCAGAACCTCGTACTGACATGTCCATAGTCCTCGTTGGCACTGGTTGCAGGTTGGAGCCGACTTGTCGCACTTGATCTTCCTTTCACGACAGCGAATGCAAGCCTTGTTACTGGGTGGCAACGGCAACGACACCCTTGAGTTGGCGGCGACAGAGGCCTTCTTTTGCGGTTTTGCGGTTGACGCGAGCGATTTCGCCTTTTTGCTTTGCTTGGGGGATACTGCTTGCGCGGGCTTAGGTAATTGTGTAGCACCTTCCTTTTTGCGCTTCTTTGCCAATGGTTTCTGGGGTTCTGGAAAACTTGTCATGTCAAGGTTGTCATTCCGGTTTTCATCATTCACTTCGACCTCGGCTCTTTTGCTTCTTTTTCTTTTTCGTGGTGGCTGCTTTTCCGGGGCGGGAGCAGCTGGAGGAGCGACGTCATCAACATAATCACCGATGGCCGGCAGAGGGGGGCTATAGAAGAGTCAACAAGGATGCTACCAAGCCGGGTGACGACGTGGGCAAGGGAACGTGGGAGAGACAGTATGCCAGCAGCATGATTGGCGGAGCGACTCACCTGTCGCTAGCTGGACGCGCTGTATGGATGGGGTTATGCTTATACACAACGTTGATTGCCCGCCGCTTGAGGGAGAACTTGACGTGTATGGCGCCGCCGCAGTCGTAGGTGGGCAGCATGCCAGGCGCCTGCTTTCCGGGGTCGAGATCACTTCCATCAGAGTCATGTGACGCATCTTTCTTGGTGTTGCTTTTGCGATATCTGTTCTGAAGGCTATCTCGACATACATACCTGAGCCTCGCGCCATCGCCGCCGGCTTTGCTGTGGACTGAGCGCTCGGAATACTCAAAGCCATCCGTCTCCTGGATGGCTGCAATGATGGACCTGAGCGGGATGAGTAAGTGGCGCGCACGTTTGACGCACACAGTCAGGGGTAGGTACCTGGCAATGGCTCGCTGGACACGGAGCCTCTCCTTGCCATGGATGTCGCTGCACAGGGCGTACTCGACGGCGATGCTCTGGAGGTGGTCGGCGGGCTCTATCAGGGCATCAAGATGCAGTTGCTGGGTCACGGGAATGGTGATGGTAGAAGCAGGCGCGAAGATGAACTCTGTCACGACATGGGTAGGGACGAAGCTGGCTGAACTCTTGTCCAGCTCGTTGCGCAGGGCGCCCTCAAGTGACTATACGAACAAAGACCTTAGCTGCGTCGGGCGAGGGCAGTGGAGAGTTGAGTACTTCAAGTGTAGGGCAGCGGTAGTAGACGTCCGGGTCGAGGCCCTTGTGGTAGCGCAGATCCAGTTCGTCGTCGAGATGCTCCATTGCAAGACCAGTGCAAGCTGTTGGACGGAGGCTTCTGCTGTACTTGGGGCGTGGTGCGTGTGTAGGCGCGTGAGATGAGGCGGATTGGGGGAGATGAGGGTCCAAGCTCCTGCGGGCCGCACGTTGTTCCGGGCCGACGCCAGGCGCTGATTGGGCGGGTGCAGGGCTAGACAGGGATCCCCTGCGGGCGTGTAATATTCGAGTCGACTGCATCGCCGCCATGGGACCAAGCGGCAGCAGGCGCATAATCTCTCAATGGATGAAGGGGTGTTTTGTCGAGGCGAGTACGTACGTGGGTGTGTACATTGTGAAGCAGCCACAGGACATGGGCCCTGTTCAGGCGCAGGGCTGGGGGAGGGGGGACACATGGACATGCAGCATGGAGGTACTACAGAGAGGGACAGAGGATAGAGGATAAATGATGGAGGATAGAGGACAGAGGACAGAGGACAGAGGACAGAGGACAGAGGACAGAGGACAGAGGACAGAGGACAGAGAGGACAGAGAGAGAGGGGGGAGAAGGAGAGCATCCACGACATACAGCAACGGCATAGTACATAGTACATACGGGGCAGAGAGAGAGAAAGTACGCCGATCAGCCACGTTGTTGGAGGGGCACGGATGGCGCTGGATCTGGGGCTCGAGGGACGTGTGTCAGGGGTCGTCGGCGGTACACATGTACTATGTACAGGACATATGTACAGGACATATGTACATGGTCGCTACATGGACAGACATGTGGACACATGGCCTCGGTCGCAGGTAGCGTCCAGCGTGTCGTGTGCTGCGCCTAGCAGGCCAATGCCGGGCTGGGCTGGCGGGTGCAGGATGCGCAGCGCATGCTGGGCCACCGCCGTGCAGCGCTGCGTCAGGGCCGGTGTGGCATCCATGTGTGTGTGTATGTAGCGGCTAGCAAGGAGCGCGCCGTCTGGCCGGCAGAGGCAGAGGCAGGAAAAAGAACAAGTTGTGCACGCGCAAAAGACGCCTCGATGCGTACATAGCTGCGAATATGCGCCGTTTCCGAGCTACGGGCGGGAGCCGATGCAAGGTTATGATAACAGCGCCAGGCCCGGCGGCAGTGATTGGCCTCTGCCTCTCTCCGCTACCGTGGGTGTGCATCTTGCAACCTCACTTCCCAAGCCCCATCTCCAACGCCCTCGCCCGCCCTCGCCATCCCGCCATCCTCGCCCTCGCCCTCGCCCTCTCCTCCTCCTCCTCCGCCGCCGGCTGCCCGCGCCCG